CCTTCCTTCCTTCCTTCCTTCCTTCCTTCCTTCCTTCCTTCCTTCCTAACCTCTTCATTCTCCTTTCTTCTTCCTTCCCCTCTTTCCTTATTTTTCCTTCCTTGCTCTCTTCCCATCTTTCCTTCGTTTTCTTTGTCTTTCCTCTTTCCCTTTCTAGTCTCTTCTTCCATGCTCAAATGTAAAAGGGGAAACATTTCTCCTTTTGTTTTGTTTTTAGTTTGTTTTGCTATCCCTCTGCCAGCAAAAATGGAGCCCGCCCCCCTGAGCTTCGTTTTTGCTAGCAGAGGGCTGCAAGAAGCTGTTGCGGCTGAAAACAGAGCCCAGCCCTCCTCAGCTTCATTTTCACTGGCAGAGGTACCATGGGCCAGTCCTTTGCTGTTTTCAGAGTGGTCCTGTGGGCCAGATCTAAACACCCCATGGGCTGGATCTGGCCCACAAGCCTTGAGTTTGACACCCCTGGTTTAGAACAATGATAACTAGGATTCCATGGCAGGAAATATTAATGGGAAAAGATTCTAAGGTTTTGGGGACTTCTTGAAATAGCAAATGCTTAAAAACCCTGAATCACAAAACATTCCAGTACGTTCATACATTTATGTGATTAATCTAACATGGGTAATGATTAGTCAGATCAATGAGTTATAGTAGTCTTTTCTCGGTGCTGTCTCTCAGAGTAGTGTTTTTTGTATTACTATCCTTTTCTCCTACTTAATGGAGAGTTTTGGTTTTGTTGAGTTTTTCCCATTGATTTGGAAAACTTGGGATAATAGAATTATCTTGGTTCGCAATTGTTTTTCATGCCCAGAGCCTCAAATTGGTCAGTTCTGATACTATGAACTTTCTCCTAGTTCATCCACTATTTATTGTCACATGCCAATAAATACACACTTCTGCAATGTCGGTGCCTTTTCCTACCTGGAGCTTTCCTTGTGTCTCAACAGCTCCCTTTCAGAATTCTCTTATTATTTTGCTTCTGTTCATTCACTCTACTGTAGTTGTGAACTCAGCTGCCTTTTTTTAAAAATACCCACATCCTACACAGAACTACAATTCTTATGTATAAATGCTTTTATTCTATTTAATTCTATTTTCTATGTTAAATGATATATTTTACATTTACAGGAAAAAAATTGTTGGAGACATCTGCATGATCTTCCTTGCTGAGCTCCTGTTGGTTTATCTGTTCTCATTCTTCTTGGGAAATGGCTGCCTTGTGTCCAAAGTGAGGAAAGGGGTGATGGGATGAAAACAGGGGCTACAGAATATGCCACAGACTTGTCTGGGGAGATCATCAGTCATCCAGGTCATGGTTGTCCTAAAGATGTTTTTTTCAGAGGCAACTGGACTTTCTGATTTTTCTCTGAAAAAGTTTTACTTCTCATCCAAGAAGTTTCTTCAGCTCTGAAGAAACTTCTTGGCTGAGAAGCAAAATGTCTTCAGAGAAAAAGCAGAAAGTCCAGTTGCCTCTTGAAAAAGCACCTTTGGGACGTGCCACAGACTTGCTGCTGGTGTGGGACTTCATTTCTTTCATCACTAATCTGAGCAAATTCCACTGGCCGTGACTTTAAGAAGAGCAATATCACCATATAATGGCACAGTAACAGACACCATTGCAGCAATGCAAGATTGCAAAGCTAGGTCCCTTGTAAATGATGAGCACTGATATCATTATTTGCCAACTTGGTGCATAAGAGTAGTGCCTTGCCTTTTGTATTGTTTAACGATGCTTGACATTCATTTTGTTGTCCACATCCAAGAACTCTAACATGAGATACCCAGGCCTTTTGACTTTAGCATATTCCAACACTGCTCATTTTGCCTCTCCCCTTCTAAACTACTACTGCAATTCCAAACTCAATATCGGAATTACCTGAGCATCTATGACATCTGCACAGCCTCAGATATTTGCTTCTTCTTGCCCTGAATGTTTACAATGAATAACAGCATGTACTCTATTGTACTCTGACCTGGAATTTGAAATCCTAGTTTTAGTCCTATATGAAGAGTTTGCTGTAACTGGCCAGGAAAACGTCACTCTTGACAATGTGTCCTCTTCTTTCATAGTTTTTTAAATGTATAATAAACGGTTATAAACCTGAAATAAGGTTCTCAGATTGTCTAATGGTATTCACCTACCGTGGTAGTTTTAAGATATGCAGACCTTAAACCTTCCGAATTCTCCAGCAAATACAGTGTAGTGGGAGTAAATTTGCCAAAGTTGAAAAACACTCTTGTCTCCCATTTATTACTGCAACCATATAGGGGGTCAAGGTTTCATTGTCCTTTTTGGAATTCTGCGCATGGAGTTCTCAACTTTCTTAGTTCTGTGGCGCAGAGGAAAGGCAAGGCGCCGTGTGCGCGCGCATGCGCGGAAGAGCAAGCTGAGCCTATGTTTTGCCCTCAGCCATGGTCGTGTCCTCTGTCTCCCGCTTTGCGTCCCGATACCGCCCGACGCCTCTAGCGACCTTGCCGCCTCAGCTGGACCCCAACGAATACCAATGGAGCCCCGAGAAACGCCGTGCGGAAGCCGAGCGCGTCGCCCTCCGCTCCCGCCTCAAGCGCGACTTCTTCCTGCGGCTTAATGACCCTCGACGGACGGAGCTCCTCGTGAGTCAGGGCGGGGGGGCGGGGTGGGAGCCTGGGCTTCCTTCCTGAAAGGGAGGCGTCAGGCGCGCCGTGTGTATGCGTGGGTGTGGGGTCGTTAGTTCTCCTTTCTCAGGGCTGTCGACCAGGTCGGGCCTTCGCCCTCCGAAGAAGAGGCGCCTATGAAGAGCCTGCTCCGAGAGCTTGTTTCTTGTCCCCCCCCATCGGCCGTGGGATGCAGGCCAGGGGTCAGCCCGCTGCGCAAAGTCAAACTGAATCTCGCAACAAGCGGCAGCCGGAGACACCCCCAGTTTTGCACATTTTTCATCCTGCACAGGCATCTCCAAACCTTGGCGACTTCTGGGGGTTTTGTGGACTTCAACTCCCAGGATTCCTCAGGCAGCCAAGTTGGCTGGGAAATTCTGGGACTTGAAGTCCACAAAGTTGCCGTGCTTGGAGACCTCCGATTGTAGTAGGTGGTGCAGAAAAAGCCACGAAATGAGTGATAGTATTAAGGCGAGCACAGGTGCTTGCTGCCATAATTGACTCCTTTCGTTGTGTAACTGGGCAATTTTTCATTCTCTCTGATTTAGGAAGATACTGCTGTACTTCGTTGGGATTATGCCAGAAGGCAAAACGTGTATTCTAGTCACCGTTTTACTCCTAAAAGCTCCCTATTGAGTCTTCTTTGGGGAGCAGGGCCCTTTGTTTTCTGGTATTATGTCTTGAAATCCAGTAGGGTAAGTTTTAAAAGTTTACATTACTTTGCATAATCAATAGTTGGGTTTGCTGATAGAAGTGACTTTCTGCCTGTAAATGCTAAAATGTCTAAAGCCTAGGGAATGATGTGATGCATAACGCAGCTTCATAATCCCTTTACTATTACTTTCGTGAATTATCTTTTTTCCAAGAGCCAGACAAATAGCTACTTTTCTATGAGGTACTTTTCTTGGTCTTCTCTGAGCTTGCTTGTTTTCTTGCAGATATTTCATTACCCAAACTAGGTAACATCATCAGTGCTAATAAGGAGTGGTGTTGACTGTCAGTTTATATTCTGGCATCTTGTCTGTGTGGGTGAGTGGTGGTCATAATTTTTTGGTTGGGCTGTTTGTTTATTTTTATTAAAGTTTTTTCTTTTTATAAGAACAACAAAAAGCAAACATTTAAAACCTTTTTTCTGTTCCACAGTGTGTCAGTTGGATACATATTTCTTCGTGCATAAAATAATGTTATCATCCATATTTAACGTGCATATGTTATAATCATTCTAATCAATATTTTATATCGCATATATTACTTATTCTATTATCCTTAGCTTTATAATCATTGACTTTCAATAATATATTTCAAATTCATTTTCTTACTTTATCTAACTCATTTATCAATAACAATATATTATACTATACTTATATAATTCAATTCTTTACTCTTCTATCCAGCCATTCATAAAATAAATTCCAAATTTTATAGTAGTCTTTTTCCTCTTGTTCTCTAATCGCCATTGTCAATCTACTCATTTCTGCACATTCCATTATTTTCTTAATTATTTCCTCCTCTGTCGGAATTTTTTCATTTCTCCAATTTTGTGCAAATACAATCCTAGCTGCTATTAATATATTGATAATCAAATACGTTAACTCTTTGATATAACCCTCAGGCAAAATTCCCAATAAAAATGTCTCTGATTTTAAGTCTATAGGTTGTTTTATCATCTTCTCCAGCCACATGTGTCCAATACTTTTTAGCCTCTGTCCATGTCCACCACATATGGTAGTATGATCCTGGTAGCTTCTGACATTTTCAGCACTTCGCCAACTTGTCTTTAAACATCTTAGCAATTCTCATTGGGGATAAATGCCACCTGTAAAACATCTTATACAAATTCTCTTTATAGGCCGTTGACATAATTAATTTATAATTTCTAGACCATAATATCTGCCATTTATCTAAATCTATTCTATATCCAAAAAATTTTCCCCACGCAATCATTGTTTCTTTTACTTGTTCATCCTCTAATTTCACTCCTAATAAATAACCATATAGTTTTTTAATCAACTTCTCTTCGGTGCCTGTTAGGATTTTATCCAATTCAGTCAATTCCTTGTGAAACCCAGTCATCTTAATGTCTTTTTCATACCTTGTATGTATTTGTAAATATGAATACAATTTATATTTATCCCTTGTAAGTCTAATTCTTGCTTTATTTTGAGTTCACCCTTTTCATTTAGAATTTCTTCATATCTAATTATATGTTCCTTTTTAAATAGCTGTGGATATGTAAAGACTGGTATTTTCATATAATGATAGTCTCTTATTTTTTCCCCATACTATTAAAGCATCTCTAATGTAATGTCTCCTAAAATATCCATGTACCTTACTTTCTTTATACCATAAGAATGCATGCCAACCCCATTGTAAATCATGCCCTTCTAATGTTAATAATCTGGCATTTTTCAATACGATCCATTCCTTCATCCACATCATTCCCAATTGGGTAATCCAAAACCCCCTCTCAACCTTGCATCCTGTAATAATTTTATCTTAATTCTTGCCTTTTCCGCCTGCCAAATAAATTTCATCATCATTTTATTTAAGTCTTCAAAATATTTTTTTTCAGTCTTATTGGAATCATTTGGAATAAGTACAATATTTTTGTCAGTATGTTCATTTTAATTGTCGCTATTCTACCTATTAGAGATAGTTGTAGATTTTTCCATTTTTCTAGATCTATCGCAATCTTTTGTAATAATCTGTCGTAATTATTTTCTTTAAGTGTTCCACATCTAGCTGTCATTTGTATCCCTAAATATTTCACTTTTTTTGTAATTGGAATATTTAGTTTGTCCATTAATCTTTTCTTTTGTTTTTCTGTCATATTTTTCACCAAGATTTTTTTTTCTTTGTTTATTTTCAGTCCTGCTACTTCGCCAAACTCCTCTATTTCTCCAATCAATTTTGAGCCTGTTTCCAATGGTTCTTCCAGTATAAAAACCAAATCATCTGCGAAAGCTTGTAGTTTGTACTCTTCATTTTTTATTTTCATTCCCTTTATTTCTCCATTTTTTCTAATATTTCTATTCAAAACTTCGAACATCAATACAAATAATAATGGGGATAATGGACAGCCTTGTCTAGTTCCTTTTACGATGTTGAAGTTTTCTGTCAATTCTCTATCATTACTCTTGCTGTTTGTTTATTGTATATCACTTTTAATGCTTTCGTATACCTGTCTCCAAAACGCATCTTCTCCAATTGCATCAACATAAACTGCCAATTCACATTGTCAAACGCTTTCTGTGCATCTAAAAACACTAATGCCATTTGTTTCTCTGAGTGGGTTTCATAATATTCCAAAGTATTCAATATTATCCTCATGTTATTTTTTATTTGTCTCTTGGGCAGAAATCCATTTTGATCTGAGTGTATAAAATAGTTTAAATATCTTTTTAGTCTTTCTTCCATTATTGAAGCAAATATATTATAATCAGCATTTAGCAAGGATATTAGTCTATAATTATTTATTTGTTGTGGGACAGTATCTTCTTTTGGTATAAATGTAACGTATGCCTCTGTCCATGAATTGGGTACTTTATTTTTTGTCAAAACCTCATTCAATACTTCCAACATTGTAGTAGAAATTATTTCCTGAATTGTCTTATAAAATTCAGCTGGTAGCCCATCCGGACCGGAGGCTTTTCCAATATTTTGTCTGTTTATTGCTTATGTCAGTTCCATCGTTATTTTCTCATCTAACATGGTCTTTACTTCATCAGGTATTTTCGGTAATTCTGCTTCTTGTAAATATTGCTGTACTTTGTTTTCTAGGTTGGGCTGTTTATTGTGGCTCTCTGGCAGTTTCTTGATTGGGGTATTGCTTACTTGATTGTTAGTCTGAAGTTCTGCCAGCTGTCTGCCTGTTTGTCCTACATAGTGATTGTTACAGTTCTTACATTGTATGTTGTAGAATAGATGAGTCCTGTTTTTTCTTGAGTCGTTTCCTGGGTCTTTTGATTTGCTTAGGATGTTTCTACCAGGAGGAGCATCAACCAAAAGACCCAGCAATTCGAGAAGAAAAAACAGGAGTCATCTACAACATACAATGTAAGAACTGCAACTATGTAAGTCAAACAGGCAGAAGACTGGCAGAATACATGAACACGAACTGGTAGTCAGAAGGCATGATGAAAATTATTTAATTTAACAACATATATAGACTGATTTAACCATAGTTTCAATTGGGAAAATGTGACTACCTTAGGCCAGTCAAATCCAAAAATGCCAGGGAATTTCTAGAAGCCTGGTATTCTGACAAATCAGCCATCAATAGACATTAACAACATCTATAGATTATGCAAAAGAGACAATCAACCAGTCCAGATGAGAAAAAGACTCCAGCACCTCTCCACCAGTAATCACTCAGATCAGTGATGGCTAACCTTTTCACCTTTGTGTGCCAAAAGTGCATGCGTGTGCACGCATGCGTGCCTGCATCCATAATGCAATGCACGCGTGACCCCCTGCACGCTGTGCGCCTCTGCGTGTGCCCCACAACCCCCTGCATGTGCCCTGCACCTCTGCGCATGCCTGTGAGTCTCTGTGCATGCCCTGCGCGTGCCCCGCACACTCTGCATGCATGCATGCCTCTGCGCATGCACGTGCCTCTGTGCATGCGCAGGCGCCCCCCCCCCCCCCCCCCCGCACATGCACAGCAGATACAAGACAATCAGCTGGCTGGTAGGAGGCGTGCGTGTATGTGCAGTGGACCTGATCTGGGGTGACAGCTTGCATGCCAGCCGAGATGGCTCTGCGTGCCACTTCCGGCACACATGCCACAGATTCACCATTACAGGCATAGAGATTAACTTCAGAACAATGATCAAGTAAGCAATACCCCATCAAGGAACTGCCAAAGAGCCATCAGTAAACAGCCCAACCAAAAAAATCTCTTAAGATCGCCCCACCCACCTAGACAGGCAAGACACCAGAATATAAACTGACAGCAAACAGCACTTCTTACTAAGATAGCACTGATGAGGTTACCTAGTTAGGATAATGAAGACGTGCAAGAAAACAAGCAAGCTCAGAGAGCACCAAGTACCCTCATTTCAACCCTGAGCTACAAATATTCTCTTTTATTGCAACTTTTCTATGAAATTCTGTGTTTGAAAATATCTGAATGGAAGATGCTTATCTCATTTGGGCTAATCAGTGGAGGCCTTTTGAAATCCAGGTCCTTCTGACAATTGGTATAGTTCATTTCTGAATTTAATATTAAAGAGACTCTTCACTGACATTGTAACCCACTTTGAAAAAAATCCTTGGCACATGCTTTCTCTGATTCATAAAATTAGAGTTTGCCTATACAGTGAACTAAAAGAAAAGAGCGTTCTTTTTTTTTTTTGGCTCGGAAATAAATCTTATTAAATTTAAATGAAAAGACCATTAGGCATATAGGCATATGTTTTGAAACTCAAGAGACCTGGAAGTTTAGTTGTAGGTAACCAAACAATGAATTTTCTTCAGTTATTGCTGCTGCAAAAAACAAACCACATAGAAATAGTGTAAATATCATTGCTGTTAACTATTTTTATGTCTTTTTAACAATTGCAGTATTTTTGTTTCTTTAATCCTTACAGTTTTCCAGATTTCTGATTCATTTACAGGTAGTCCTCGACTTATGACTACAATTGAGCCTAAAATTTCTGTTGTTAAGTGAGAAATTTGTTAAGTGAGCTTCGCTTCATTTTATGACCTTTCTTGCCTCAGTTGTTAAGTGAATCACTGCAGTTGATAAATTAGTAACTTGGTTGTTAATTAAATCTGGCTTCCCCATTTATTTGCTTGTCAAAAGGTTACAAAAGGCAAGCACATGTCCTTGGGACTCAGCAAGGGTCACAAATATGAACCAGTTGCCCAGCACCTGAATTTTGATCACATGACCCTGGGGAGGCTGCAAATGGTCATGTCACTTTTTTCAGTGCCGTTGTAATTTTGAACAGTCACTAAGTTGAGGACTACCTGTATCTTGTGGGGAAGTGTTACCATTAAATTAAGACTACTTAGATAACACAGAGAGCCCTGTGCGTGCTGGTTTAATTTACTTAAGTGGAATTGATAAAAATAATTTCTAAATTAAAATACAGTTTTAATTGTATTTGAAATTCTGAGAAACAAGCATTCAATACTCTCAGTCTTGATCAGTAATATGATTTATACTGTTAGTTTTATTTAGTTATATCAGATTTTTCAAATATATTTGTCATCATCCTTATTTGTTGGACCATGTGAAAGTAAACATTAAAAATGAAGAACAATATCAACAAAGTATAGTTTAAAGTGTCTACATTTAGTTTATTCCTACCTATGTTTAGTACTGGGGTTTTTTTTAAACTGCCTTGCAATGTTAAACAGACTAGTATAAAATATTTTAATAAAACAAAAAGCTAACTCATAAATTTGCATTATTAGTTAGATTTTCTCCAAGTAAGGATTCTGTCTTATGCTGCAGAAGTTGTGGGTGCTGTGGAGGTTTTCAAGAAGAGATTGGACAATTGTTTGTCCACAATTGTACAGGGTCTCCTGATCGAGCGGGGGAATTGGATTAGAAGAGCTCCAAGGTCCCTTCCAACACGGTGATTCTGTGATTCTGCTTGGTGCTTGGAAGGTTTCTATTTTGAAATGACTTTAATCCTTGGAATTTCTCTTTTATGTGCAGGCTTATAAAGAAAGACTCAAATCAGAAGGCAGATACGACGAAGGATTCCGTACTAGCTGTTAAGTCTATGAGTAAAACTGTATGAAAATCTTGCTGGAGAAACTATTTCTCTGTAAGTCTACTTTCAAAATAAAACTTACTAAATAAATTATGGTTTATTTCATGTCATTACTTTATAATGAGACCTGTTGAATTAATAACATTTTTAAAAAATTATTTCTATTTCTCCTCCCTAGTTCCTATAATGGCGTGCAATTATGTCATTGAAATCCAGCCCTTATATGATTGATTTTCCATATCCCTATGAATTTTTTTTTTTTAAAGTAATTTTAACTATTTAGATATTTTGAATATAATGTTCCTCTCATTTCTTATTTCAACTGGATTTGGATATTTTCATCTTGAACTGTTCACATCATAATTTATGGATTTGTTTCAAATATCTGATAAATTCCTTTCTCACAAAAGTCCTACTGTATTAGTGACAAAGGAAAAAAATTCCATTGTTGTTACATCTTTACATTTCTGTCTGATAGATCCATTTCTTTCTTTTTTTAATGTGTTCTGAACTTTCTCTAACCTGGTTCAGATGATGTGAAGGAATTCTCACAGAAATACTGCACTGTGCTGAGTATTTTGAATAAAAATATAACTGTACAGTATTTCAGATTTAGAGTCATAAAAGAGTCTGTCAGATCCGTGTATCTGTCATTTCTTCAGTGGAAGAAGAAAAGGGGGGGAGACTGATAAAGAAATCCTTCCTTGATGTAACCTGAATATATTTAATCTTATATCGAATTTGTATAACCCACACATGATACAATGAAAGGAAAAAAGCCACATGGCCGGAACCTATCACCTCTGAGGGGCACAGCCAGGAGATGAGAAGATCATAGAAATTCCACAGTAAGATGTGTCCTGAGAATCTCTGGAAAAGTCCCTTTTAAAAAGGGAATGGGGGGAAATTAGGTATGCCCTGGGAAACTGAAAAAGATAATTTCTACAGAAGGGGTGGAGCGGGGAATTAACATACTGGTTTTGGTTTCACCAAATACACATCAAGATAAGGGGAGGGGTTCTAAACTCCCTTATCTACCCCTGTATGCCTGGGGGACCTCAGACGCTGCTTTGAACTCCTACATGAATTGTCTGGTCTCGGTAAAGGATTCCTTTTGATACATTTGGTGTTCATTCTTGTTAATTGAATGGGAAAAAGTTCTGTAGCCAAAATTAGTAGCTTCGAAAATAAACTTCCAGTTGTACTTCTGGCTTAACCAGCACCCCAGAATGCCACACAAGGGCAAGAAAAGAACCAGATAAGCCCCAGCAAAGTTACTGAAACCCATACATCTTTAACAAGCTAGAGTCATAAAGGGCTTTGGAGTCCATGGAACTAGGAGCATGGCATCTACCTGCAATTCATTAAAGCAGTCTTGCCTTTTCTGGGATTATTTGGCTGCCCTGCACAGTTGCTATACAGTTCCTGAGAAATGTGCATTTGTTTTAAGTAATTTTGACAAATGTTATGCTTGCATTTCCATGTGCTATGAGCATTCAAATGCTTCCAAGTGGTACAGACTGTGGCAGTGAGGACAATTCGTGGGCCCCCTAGGTGGCCCATGTAACACCACTACTCTGTGAACTGCCTTACTGTGGGTTTGCTTCCAGGTACAATTCAAAGTGTTGATTATTATCTTTAAAACCCTGCATGGGATTTAAGCTGGCACAAGTTTAGGTTACTTGATCAACTGTCTCACCCCATTTGTACTGGCAGAGGAGGTATGCTGTGGGCCAGCCAAGGAATCCCAGTTGGCACAGTCCAGAAGAAGAGTCTTCTCTGCTGTGGCTCCTGCCCTTTGGAACATTGTGCCACTTGCGATGAGATTGGCTCCCTCTCTTCTGGCCTTCTGTAAGGGCCTGACGACCTTGCTCTGCCAGATGGCTTGGTGCCCCAACAGGGGTAAAGAGGCAATCCCATTTCCCCACTGCACATCCTGTCTTTCCTTTCCCATTTTTAACTAAAATTCTATTTTTCATTGTAGTTTCTATTTTTCTTGTCTTAGAAATATTTTTCTTTTATTATTTTAATGCTTTTAATGTTGTAGGCCACTCAGTCACTTTGAAACGAGATAGGCAGCAAATAAAGTTAATAAATGTGGGTGTTTTTCAATCTGTAGCAATATACAGCCCTAATAAACACCATTTTAATTTAAATGATGGGCATGGTAGTAGTAGTTAAGACATATGTCTGTATATAGATCTTTTTCAAAACCATGAAAGTGTTTGCATCCACTTTCCTGTATTCTAATTTCAGGATAAGCTATCGTGTGGAAATATCTCTGAGGGTTTAGCAGTGTGTGAATAAACTTATCAACATTCATCCCTGCTATTCCCTAAATAAATTATTCTAGCCTATCTAGCTCTTTCCTAATGACAATCAGAAAGGCAACGTCTTTACTTGAGTTGCAGTTGCAACCCCTTACAAAAGGAGAGGTCCTCCCATTCTCACATTCTTGGGAAGAGAGTCTTCATCAGTGCCCTCTGGTTGCCATCTGGAGCACATTTTAATAATCTCAATCCAACCATGTAGGTCTCAATTCAAATAATGTTCTTGACCAGCCTTGAAGTCTCTTCTCACAGCATCAGTTCTAGCTAACTGTCCAGAGCTGGAATGCATTGCAGAATTTTTTTGGGGGGAATGTTTTTCTCTGCAGTCCTTGTCTTGATCTAGCGGACCATATTCAGTTCTTACCTGTACTCTCTCCTTCATCCCCAACCCTACATTTGACCCTACTATGTTTTGGAGTTACCTTGTTGACAAGTAAAATTGTAATCCTCTTCACCTAATCTTTTCTCCAAGTTCTACTAGACTGGAAAGAATTTTAAAAAGGCACCTATAATATAAAATATAAAAAGAAGCAAGTAATTAAGAATACATACAGGTGGCCTAGATTTTTAGATGCTGTGATGAAAGTTAAAAGTCAGAACCACTTAGATTAACAAAGGATGCTAGGGACAACAAAAAAGGCTCCTTCAGATACATTTAAAATAATAAAATGGAAAAAATGGTATTCCAGTAATTTGGGGTAATAAAGTAGAATTATTCAGTTCCTATTTTAGCTTGAACTTTCTAGCAAGAGTTCCACCAGCAATTGGGAAAAGCAGGATTCCAGCTGACGCTTAATAGAATTTTAGGGAACATATGCTAACCTTGATATAATATAAAGTTCCAGATTACATGGACTGTATCATATGTTCCTGATACCACTTCTCTCTCCACATTCCCCCATTACATTTCGGTCTGCCATTCAGACTCTGTCTTTCTCCTTTTTCTTTCCTGATCCTTTCCAATCCACCTTTTCTGCAATTTTGGGCCATAGCACCTTTTTTCTCTGAATTTTGATTTTTGATTTACTGTTTCAGCAAACCATACATGTTCCAAGAAGAACCAAAAAGATGCTGTTTCTCTCTTTTACTCCCCCACCACCACTAATTTTTCTTCCTAGCCTCTGTGCTTTTTCCTAAAAACGAAGTGGACTAGTAGCCCTGAAAATGAGCCTGGTGAGTTAATTGCATTCTTTCCTGATGAAACATAAATTACAGCTATTTTCTTTTGCAAAAGAGATGGGCAGCAGAAATATCTGCTGTGTTGTGTAGAGAATTAAACTGAACATAAACATAGATTTGTTTCAAAATGAGAGATTATGCATCCCTCCCTAAATGGCAATTTCTCACTCTAGAGCTCAATGATATATTATGTATCTGAGAAATCACCTCATAAAAGATGTTACAGATATTCCCAATTTCATAATGGTCAGTTTTACATCAACAGTTCACATTGGTGATTTTAATTTTTCAGATGCTAGACGTTCATTCTTGCAAATGTTTATACAAAATGGTTAAGATATTGTTCCATGATTTTCTTGAACTACTTGGGAATGAAGAAATTGGATGTGGATACTTATGGTATCTTCATTTACATTTGGCATTAAAATTGATTTTCAGCGCTTCCCAACATTTGTAGTAATTCTTATCCAAGGTGGTTTTCAGCCCCCACTTGGTCACAGCCAAGCTAAAGGAAGATTCAAACATGAAGGCCTTGGGGAAAAAAACAGAAGGCATAAGTAAGTAGAACAGTATTTGTTTTGAATGAAATGGACAAAAAAATTACCACTTTGCCTATTGTACACTATTAACTAATTTGAGTGTTGTTATTGCTATTTTTGCTTTTATCATATGTTGGTGCTCATTTTATCATTTGGCTCCAGAGGTGGTATTCAGCAGGTTCTGACCAGTTCTGAAGAACCGGTAGCAGAAATTTTGAGTAGCTCGGAGAACTGGCAAATACCACCTCTGACTGGAGAGTTTACAGTATCCTTCCCCTGTCACACCCACCAAACAGAATTGGTAGTAAAAAAAAATTGAATCCCACCACTTTTTGGCTTGTTATATTTTATATAATTTTGCAAAGAAGTTAGATTTTAATATGAAATAAAATGTTAGAAAAACTAGGAATTATTGAGCTGATAGACAAAAAATTAGTTTATGAACATATCTTAACTAAAACAAGTTTAGTAGGAAGTGCTACTGTGCAATGAAATGGGCTATTCCATGAGCTCAGTGGACCACAAGTATTCATATGAGAATTGCAAAGATTTGTAGTTTTGTAACAGTTTAAAATTGTAATAGGAAATATTTTCTTTAATAAATTTGATGCTTACGGTGTCAGTGTATAAAATAAAAGTGATGATTTACATACAATCAGAGTTAAAAGCAGACATGCTGAAATAAACTATTAAAACACTTTTTACAAATATGTATTTAGGGTCTTATGAAAGAGCAAATTGTTGGTTTCCTCAGCTCAGCATAAAATGAGGAATATAGGCAGATTTCCTCATTAGAACTCCAACTAGCTGTGCTTCCATTCATGCATACAGTTCTCTTTAGAATTGTCAACACAACTGCCACTATCTATATTTTTTCCCATCTTAATATTCCAAAAAGTTATGAGATTATAAACTTTTTTTTTTTCTGAGAAAAGAAAAGGCTCTCAGTTTCAGTGTGGGCAGGATGAGTCCCAGCAGATTTTACTCTGCTCATCATTGCCATTTATAAGGGGTGGTACTCATCTCCATTTCAAGGGCCATT